ATTATTTGCCTCTACTCAATTCTATTGTGTTTGTTGTTGTGTTATAGGCAAATCCATTCCCAGGATACAATAGAGTCTTGGGCAAGAATTTGCAACCAGCAAAGTTGAAGAATCTCCGAAGAAACTTTCTGTGAGACAATAGTGGATCGGACTGAGAGAGACAAGAGCGATTTTTGAAACTTGTGTGTGGAAATGCTTGATTCATGCTCCTTAAACAATTTCTAAAAAGTCATGGAGTAAAGGAAGGTGTTGGTTCAGAAAAGACTCCTTGAACAGTCATAATTTCAAAAATTGTGACTGTTAACAGTTAATGACTGTTAACTTTGAATAGTATTTCTTGATCACACCTGATCAAATCGTGGCCGTTGAAAATATCAATGGTCAGCCTCGCACCAAAAGTTAAAGGCACCCTTTGTGAGCCACGCGAAGTGCGAGCAAAGTGTGCCTCATTGGACCTTTCACCCACGTGCGCATGCATTGTGTGGTAGCAAGCCTTCATACTCTCCTCTTTATATCTAAGGAGTGTAAATAAGTTCCTATTTAAAAACCTAAAACAAGTCTTGTAATTTTCTAATGTGGGACAAGTTAAAAATTGGTTTTGGTAAGAGAAAAAACTACTTTTCAAGACATGTGTGCATGTGTGTTTTCCAATCATAAGAAAATACTTTTTGTCCTTTTATATGATACTTAACATTTGTTGACGGTTTTGAACCAACTTGACACTTTTTGAATGTTTGAGTATTGTAGTGACACATTTGAAATTGAAAGTCCGGGTACTAACTTGACACTACCCCCAAAGTTCAGGGTACTAACAAATTTTACCAAAAAAAAATAGAACTATGCTTTGGTCAAAATAAATGATGGATTCAGGATTGGTAACAATGTCCAAAATTATACTAGTCATATATATATATATATATATATATATATATATATATATATAAAAGAAGGTCTTCAGGCTACAGCCCCTCGTCATTCAAACACTTGGCCTTCTCATTTTTTTGGAAATCTAGACATGTGACATTTTTTGACAAGTTATTGTTAAAGCCCACAACCCACTACCACCACCATTCAGACAAATAGCCTTCTCATTTTTTGGAAAGCTATACACATGGCAATGAGAAATTCTTGCTAAAGCCCACAACCCACTACCACCATTCAGACACATGTCATCCTATTAATTCAAGAAGTAGGATTAAAAAAGTGGGTAGTTTCACTCCTAAACATTATCAATAGATAGTTATTTATTAGCTTAACACATGTTTATCCATAGTCTATTAAATACAAATGGTAAGACCAATTAAAAGATTACCATAAACCTATGTTTGTTTTTAAATGATTTTTTTTCAAAAAGAAAATACTTTATTACTTACTAACTTGATTTAACTTTTAGGAAGCAACCTAATTTAGCTTTTAAAAATAAATAACTCAAAATAAATTTATTAGATAAATAGTAAATACCAAATAGAGTGGGATATTGTTTACCAATAAGATCTCATTTAATATCTTAAATCAAATTAAAAAACATAAATTAATAGTAGGTTTCAAATAAAATAGATCAGAATAGATTGTCAATTACAAAGATGTAAAACCCATATTAGTTTTTTTAATTTAATTTGTAATAACTAAATAGTAAACTTCAAACTAAATTATACGCACATTAATTACCCTGTACTTAAATTATTTATGCCTTTTTATTTGAATTACTATCTATTTATGTTAAATTTAGTCAATTAAATTAATTAAGTTAATGAATTAATTACTTAACTTAATTATATTATTGAATTAATTGTTTAGATGTAATTTGGACCCAACCCATCCCGCTATATGAAGGTATAGGATTGCTACATACAGGCTTTTCGTGATAAGGTCGGTGGGCCTCACGTGCCTTTCCACTTTCACGCTTTACCAAAAATAATAATAATAATAATAATATGGCCATTCGATATGGAGGGACAAATTATGTATAATTCATTAATTTGACACTTTATAAAAAAAAAAAGGTAAATTATAAAGACCCTCCGTACTATGGGTCTGTGGCAAAGACTCCTGTAGTTTGTTTTGTGATAAACATCCCCTGTACTATAATCGTGAGACAAAGACCCCTTGCGTTTGCCTTTTGTATCGTTACAATATTTTTTAACTTCCATATTATCTTTGTAATAACTATTTGAAGAAAAATATTATTCATCTTCTCCTGTCTCACGATACACGTACAGCAGCGGCGGACTTTGCAAGTCCTCCCTCTCTCTCTCCCGAAGCTGATCTTTTGAATTACCGTGCTAACGAATTTTCTACGCAATCAAGAAAAGTGGCCATAGACATAGAATGGAGGTCCAAAACGACGTCGGTCTTAGCACAGTCGTTTATCATTTTTTCCTCCAGTATTTCGTCAGGGTGAAAGAGAAGTTGATGGGAAGATGGGGTTAACTCATTGTTGTCGTCGTTGCACCAGCCCGTCTTCCCCGCCATAAGTCAATTATCGAACTGGAAAAGCTAAAACAAGTTAGAATTGATGAGATCAGATAGGCAAAACTCGGCCGCATTAAGACCCATCATAACATCCACTTAATTTATCTTCCCCAGAGTGAACGACAACAACCCATCATAGAATTCTGAGTTCATCGCTGTGGAGGTCGCAACGTCAACGCCAACCATGGAGGTGGTGGGCACTACTGCAGCACTGGCATCATTAATGTTGACGTGTTCAACCAGCTGGTTGCATGGTGGACTGAGAAAAACATTGATGCACCTCTGCCTTGGGCCGAACCACTCTAGATTCCGTGTTGGTCGTCGGTGATGGCTCGACTGGCTTCTTTTTCTTGTTGTCGTCGTCGTCGTCTTTAGACATGTTTGAGTGCCAATGAGTAGAAGTAGTTATTGTTGGAGAAGATGGGGTTACTGTAACTTTGGAGGAGAAGCTCTGAGGCACGTCTAAAGACACTGTCTTTAGAACGATATTTGCCCCTACTCAGTTTTACTGAGTTTGCTGTTGGGTTATAAGCAAATTCGTTCCCATGATACAATAGAGCCTTCGGGCGAGAATCTGCAACCAGCAAAGTTGAAAAGTCTTCAAAGAAACCTTCTGTGAGACTGTAGCAGACCGGACAGAGAGAGAGAGAGTGAATGAATTTCGAAATTGTGTGTTTTGGAGTCTGATTCATGCTCCTTAAATAATTTGTGAAGAGGTATGGAGAAAATGTAGGTGATGGTGAAAGCACCTTGAACAGTCACAAGTTTAAAAAGTAGTTAACAGTCCGTTGATCTTATTACACGCGTGCCTCTAAAGCGATCTCATCGAATCGTGACCGTTGATTGAATCGTGCGCCTCTAAAGCGCCTCATTGCGCTATACACATGCGCGCACACGCGTTGCGTGGTATCGAATCCCCGTACTCTCTTCTACTAATTCTAAGGAGTGTAAATCAACTCCTTGAAACACTGAAAACAAACCTTATAATTATCCAATGTGGGACAAGTTCAAAACCGGGTTTTTGTAAGAGAAAAACAGATTTTTAAATCAAGTGTGTAAGTGCAATTTCTCATATAATTGACCAATCAAACCCATTGGATTTAATCTCTTATGAGATTAAAATCCAACAGTTATTGTTTTAGGATGATCTTGCACCTTCTTTACTAATTTAGTGTTCCAGTAGCTCTTGATTTCATTGTCTGTTCGTCCTGGAAGCCTCCTTGCTATCAGCGACCATCTGCACATTATAACACAACCAGTTGCTCATACCGTTCAGAAGATTATTATAGCAATTAAACGGATTTCAAAGAATAAAACACCCTAGTTGTGCTGATCTGGAGGTCGTGATCATCATCATCCCTCATCGCATGATAGGAACCCGAACTTGTGAACCATTCCTCATAATGCCCACTCCACCCTGCATGCTACTACCAATTTCAATCTGGGCAGCATAGACTGAGAACTGCAGGCAGCTCTCATCTTTTGTGACATCAGAGCAGGATGTGGCAGAGCCACCTGCAGTCTCAGTGTCCGATTGAAGAACTTCAAATTCCGATTGATTTCCACCCTGTTGTAGTTAAGCAGTCTGAGACATCATGGCCACCCACAGGGGCAGTAGGCTTGGACTCCTACTGGAGCTGCTTTGTGTTGAGACATCATGACTACTTCTCCCTTGAAGTAGCTCTTTTCCTGATCAAAAAGCAGAGCAGAATACAACACAGCAAAAGTGAAACCGCGAAGAGGTCCCCGGTGGCTATGAGAATTATGTCTTTAGTGGTCAGTTTGCGGTGGCTTGATTTCGTAGTCTCCGGTGATGGAAATGGCGAAGAGAAACAGGAATCCTTCCAGAAATGAAGTTGTGATCAAGGGTCAATAACTGAAGCTGATAGCTCTGTTCCACCCCAGGTATCAGGAATAGAACCGGAGAGGTCATTGTACAGAAGAGCAAAGAAGGTGAGAGAAAGGGAGCGGGTAAGACCTACAAGAATCGAACCTGACAAGGCATTGAAGCTGAGTTTAAGCCTGTAAAGCCTTGTAGAGTTCCTGAGACTAGTGGGAATTGTTCCAGTGAGCGAGTTGTTGCTAACGTCAAGAGTTTGGAGCAATGGACAGGAACCGATCGAAGGAGGAATTGAACCGGAAAATCGGTTGTTGAAGAGATAAACACCTCTTGGATTGGGGAGGAACCCAAGAGAGGTAGGAATCATGCCTGTGATAATGGGTTTCCTCCGTTCTTTCATTTTGGAGAATTGGAAGAAAGAAAGAATGCGAGAAGACGGTGAGAGAGGGGGAAAAGAAGAGAAGAAAGGAAAAATAATAGGTTAAGTAGATTTTAAGAGAAAAAGGGAAAAAAATAAAAAAAAAAAATAATGGAATATTTTGTTAATTTAATGCACTCTGTCATCTAACTCAATGGTCAAAGGGGATTTTTGTCTCACGTCATAATCCAAGGTGGTCGTCTTTGTCACAAACCCCATAATACAGGGTCTTAATTTACCCTTAAAAAAATTATGGATACTTTGATAGGCATTAGTCTCAATGCCTTTGTTTGCTCTTAGTCATTAAACAAAGAGCCACCACTCTCCCCTCTCTCAATCAGTTGACACTTGACACCGCAATGGCTCAGCCGAGCTTCCCGCCGACCGGATCGAGCTACCCTCCGTTGTCTAACCCTGTCTCCGTTATCGGTCTTCAGTTTTGTTCCCCATTCCTAGTAGATCTGACCATTGTCCGAAAGGTTATGACCATCACCGACGGCAATTTTATCGTTACGGACATTAACGGGAACATCATCTTCAAAGTCAAGGGGGGGCTGTTAAGCCTTCGTGATCGGCGAGTTCTGGTCGACGCCGCCGGAAATCCTATCGTCTCCTTGCAACAGAAGGTCCGATTTTCATTATTTTATTACAAATCTATTATTATAGTTTCTTCATTAGCATAATTCTCGCGTTAAATGTGCAGCTCCAGATCTGAAAGGATCCGAAAAAATAAACTATCCTTATTTTCTTTTTCTCCTTTTTCAGACTGCATGTAAGGTTTACATTCAGCACTGAATTTTAAGAAAATATATTTGTTTTTTTTTTGGTAAGGAAATAAACAGAAGAAAACTATGTTTCCGTCACTAAATCAAGGCTCCGTTAATTGTGTCAGACCTTCTCTCTTCTCCTTGATTTTACTTTTCTTCTTTTCATTTTCTACTCTCCTAGAATTGCTCATGTTCAGACAATCAAACTTTCCTCTTTACTATTGAATAGATATGTGCTTATTTAGCACTTACTCTTTTTTTAGATATTAACTGCACATAAGAGATGGCAAGTCTTCCGCGGAGAGAGCTCGGACACCGAAGATCTACTCTTCAGTGCTAAGAAGTCTTCAATGCTCCAATTTAAGACCGAGTTAGATGTCTTTTTAGCAACCAACACGAAAGAGGATGTATGTGATTTCAAAATCAAGGGGAGTTGGTTGGAGAGATCATGCGACATTTACACCGGAGATTCCTCCACTTCAACAGTCATTGCTCAGGTAAGAAAGATCCCAATGTTTGCTAAATGGATGATTTTAGAAAAGTTATTAATTGTTAATGTGTTGCAGATGCACAAGAAACACAGCATTCAGAGTATGATACTTGGAAAGGACTCATTCATGGTGACTGTGTATCCCAATATCGACCACGCTTTTATCATCGCACTGATCGTGATTCTCGATGAGATCAACCAGGATAAAGATGATTAATACTAGAAATTGAATTTCCTCTTCCGTCGTAACCTAGTAATAAGTGTAAATTTCTTTGTTATAATATGTTTTGTGCAAGATACTTCATAAAACTTTTATGGTATCGGTTATGTTATTTGGTTGGATGTAATTATGTAATCATGTAATCATATAAAATATGTTGATGGGCCGGCCGGGTTTGGCAGGGATCTGCTACCTACAACAGGCTCCCAATTCTATCCCGATATGGCACTGATGCCACTGTAGCCGCACATAGAGAACATTTATGGAAAGTTGTTCTTAATGTACGCCTGCTATGGCCGGTTGGGATGTTGTTGGGATCATGTGCTGGTGGCTGATCCGAACGAGTCAGAAATATTTGGTGTTTAATAAAACCTGGCTCAGAGGTTGAATTGCTTTTCCATCTAGATCAATGGTTCATTGGTTCAATCACCTAGACCAATGGGTTAGCATGAGATATCACCATCATAAATTTTTCAAAAATTAAAATATTACAAAAATATAAAGGTAATGGATGGGCCATGGTTCAATCATTTGGGTGTGTGTTATTGAACTAGTGCCCATTTGAGAGGGTTAGCAGCTTCTGGAATTGTATGAAGCAAGAGGACCAAGAAGTCATGAAGCTCCGCTTGGTGAAATCTTGGAAAGCCGAAATTAGGCTTAAATGAACCCAAAAATCGATCCAATGAAGCGGTGCTGTCAACATAGCTCAATTGCAAATAGGGGTGCAAGTTGGGCATGTTTGAATGGGTTAACGGCCAATCCAAGCCCGATCTTAAATTTGGGTTTAAGGCATGAGTTCGGACTGAGCCCGTGGTCAAGCCCAATCTTCTCAACCCAAGCTCAGCCTGTATTGTAATTTGATACATTCGGGTTGGGTTCAAGCCTGGGTCAGGATTGGGTTGGTCAATGAACCCACTCTAAAAATGTATATATGTAAATATGTATACAACTGTATATATGTAAATATTTATGCAAAAAAAAAGAATCCCTGACAAAAATTTAAGTGTTGAACATGGTAATACTGTCATGTTCTTACATGATGGTTGTTTGATACAGGAGCAACACACTAGGGAGTGGTTGTAGAGTGGGGCAACTCTTTGCACTCGAATTTGAGAGGAAGCCAACTTCTACTACTACTAGTTCTTGTCTTTTGTGATGTCTTGTAATAATGATTGGAACCTTTGGCATCGTTGTTTGGACAATCCTTCTGCAAAGAAACTTGAGTCACTTTTTACTTTTGGATGTTTACCTTCATCTGTCACTTTTGTGATTTCCAGTTTCAACTACACATGCTATTGCTCCTTCTCATTTATTGCATGGTAATGTTTGGTTGTCTCCTATGATATCTAGAATGAGACTTAAATATTTTACTGCCTTTATTGATGATCATACCCATTACACATGGATATATTTTTTTTGTAGTAGCATGGTATACAATCCCAAAGATCTTGTCCTGACACTCCTCAACAAAATGAAGTGGTTGAATGCAAGAATGGCCACATCTTGAGTGTTGTAAAAACCCTGCTACTAGATTCTCATCTTCCAACAACCTTCTAGTTGGAAGTTGTCTACATTGTTGTGCATCTCATTAATATTCTTTCATTGTTTGTTCTTGAAAGCCTTTCTCCAACTCCCCTCCTAAATTCTCAATACTTCATGTCATTGGGTGTATCTGTTTCGGCATCTTCCTCCTCATGAGCATACTAAGTTGACGGCTCAATTTTCTTTGCGTGCTTTCCTGGGCTACAATCCTAACCATAAAGGATTTGTCTGTTATGATAAAAAATCTTGTAGTCTTGAATTTATCGAAATGTGATTTTTCTTAAAAATCTTTTTTTTTCTTTGAACTTACAAGTCCTTCTAAAGCACTTCGTTTTTTTTTTTTTTGTTGCCATATCATGACAAAGATAGTTCAATAGAAATAGTAAAAGTTGAATGCCTGTTCAATTTGTCTACACACCCAAAGGATTTGAATTATATATCACAAGTTTACATAAAAGTGAAAGAAACATTGTGCCCTTCACTAAAACAAATAAGAAATAAGATAAGTTTACAAGAAAGAATAAAAAATACTATACAATAAGGTACAAGATAAAATGGTACTCCCAATTGATCAGCCCATAGTATCTCTACACCCCCCTCAAACTGATGTTGAGGTAGAAGCATCAATTTGTYAGCCAAGAACTCGTGGTGAGGATGCATCATAGCCTTAGTGAAGATTTCAGCTAGTTGAAGGCTAGACGAAACATGGGGAAGAGTAATGAGACTGGCAAAGAACTGATCTTTGATGAAATGGAAATCATCCTCTATATGTTTGGTACGCTCGTGGAAAGTAGGATTAAAGGCAATCTTGATAACACTGATATTATCTGCATGGATGGAAATAGGAGTAGGAGTTTGGAGGTGAAGATCTTTGAGAAGAGCTTGAAGCCACACAATTTCACTATAGACAGAGGACAGCTCAATATCTTGCCTTAATGGAGGACTTGGAGATAGTTTGTTCTTTCTTACACTTTTAGGACATAAGGGAATCACCCACGAAAACACACTGGCCTATGGTAGATCTTCTAGTGTAAGGGCAACCAACCTAATAAGCATATGCATAGTTTAGAAGATTTAGAGATGACAATGATGAAGTGAAAAAATAGTCCATACGAGACAGTACTTCTGATGTACCTTATGATCCTAAGAAGTGCTGTCTTATGGGGCTGTCTAGGAGAAGTAACAAAGTGGCTGACAACTTGAACTGAATAGGAGATATCAGGTCTTGTCGTGGTGATATAGAAGAGGCTACCAACAAGTTGCCTATACAATGTAGCATCAGGAAGGAGTTCACCACAATCCTTGAATGATTTGAGGTTCACCTCAAGAGGAGTATCCACCTATTTCTCATCAATGAGACAAGCTATTCGAACCAAAACCATAACATACTTTTGCTGATTTACAAAGTATCCTTAAGGGGAATAACTTACCTCCATTCCTAGGATACAAGTCAGGGAGCCAAGATCCTTCATCTTGAATGCTTGGCTCAAGAGATTCTTGAGTTGGGAAATACCTTCATAGTGCCTGCTTTAAGACAGAGATAATAATCAAAAGGGCTTTGCATGATAGAATGAAACCTCTCAAACCAAGCTCGAGGTTTTGTCTGGGATTTTTTTTTTCCTTTCTTTGATTGCAAGTGGATTACTCCTCAGGATGTAGTGAGTCTCTTCAACCCAATTTTCATAAGGCACATATATATTGATTGTGTGCAATCTAGTTGCTCCTAGCTAGAGGATAGCTCGGACGTCGGTTGCTTAGCTCGCTAGTCGGACTACAAGAAGAGAATAACTTAGAGAACTCGGGGTGGCTTACTCAGTGTAAGCACTTCGATGCTTAAGTTAGTACTCTTGTTTGAGTGAGCTAAATGCTTGAATGCTTGAGTGCTAGTAAGTAGTAAATCGCACGTGCCTTGTGTCGTTAGGGTTGGTACCCTTATATAGGTGAGCTGCCGTGGGTCTCACGAAACACCTCCGAGATCCTCGGCCCGTGCTGTTAGGAGTCTGTTTCGCATTAGGATGTGGACTTCGTGCTATCCGATAAGGCTTATCGAGTCCATCCGATCCGGGCAAGATGAGGATAAGACCTACAGACGTGTGACGTGATACCGAAGAGCTCAGAGACAGCTAGCTTGCTTCTAGAAGTTAGTTATGTGTCACTTCAGCAGATCGGGCCGTCACAAGCTGCTCGCACCTCGGTCTTGGCCGAGGTGGCCTAACCCGTTGAGGTGGCAGGAAGTGTCGAGTCACGGTCCAATTAGCAAGTTGCTTTCATGTGTCCGCTTATGAGTAGGTCAACTGGATCACAAGGTCAAAGGTCACTAGTCCAATTAGCCGAGTCAACAATAGATTGAAAAATACTACTAAAGAATGAATTATTGCTCCCACTCTTAGTCCTTGTGGCCTTTTTTTTTATTTTGATAGGGGAAGTTGGTGAATGGGATTTTGGTTCCCATTAATCAAGATACCAATGCTCTTTTTTTTTTCAGATTTATGTGGGGTTTTTGAAAAATTTATTTTTCTTAGGTATTATTTACCTGAATAAGCAGGTAAGTGATGCATCTCCGAAGTGGATAAATAACTTTCCCACTTGGAGAAAAATTATTGTCACTTGGATGAGACAAAATTGCCCCTTTTAATAATAGATTTTTATGGCTAAAATTATCATTATTTTATTTATTTGAAAAATAAAAGAATATGGGTACATGTAACAATTACCCGGGTAAAATGCATTTACCGTTTACCGAGATAAATAACTTCTCCAAAAATAAAAAGGGCCTTAGTTTTTGCTGATTTACCGCAAATGGAGAGGATCAACATTGAGAATGGGCAACCATTATTCTCACTTTAATGTGAACCAGCCCCACGTGTGATGTAAAGTCTCTATTTTGATAGAAAAAAAAAAAAGACTTTACATGGAAAACACCCCATGGTTTCAATTATTATAAGGGGTGATCATTTCCGGCTACAACTCATGTAACGGTGCATATATAATTTATTATCTTTGATTAACTATTCTAATAAATTCAGAGCTTTCATTCTAATAATTAGTCAATGTAGGATTTTAAATGAATAAATAAGTTTAAATAGTCAGACATGGCACATGAAATCGTACATTGATCTATATGAAATATATGAGAACAGATAATCATTGTTAGGTACCATAGTTTTTAATATCGGCTTGGCCCAGCCTTTGATCATTCCTACTCACAACATATAAACATGTTTGATGTTTCGATTGGTTATAGAATGCACCAAGAGTGAAATGGTTGTTGATGGTTACTAGTAACCAACGGGCATTTTTTTAGTGTAATTTTTATAGCTTTCTTCACTGATGTAAGCATGATATAATAATATAGGGTAAATTTTTTAAACTATCCTTATGATTTACTTAATTGATTAAGTGTATTTTTATTGTTTAAAAATTAATTAACACTATTCTTATGTTTCTGATAATTAAGTTATTCCGTCAAAACTCATTCGCATATGATGTATGCATTTTTTTAAAACCCAATTTTAACCCCATCTCTCTCCCCCTCTTTCTCTCTCTTCCCTTCTTTTTCACCAATACCAGGATTCTGAGAGGAGACGGTGGCTTTCCTATGCAGGCGGCAAGAAATGGAATCCGCTCCAGAGTCCGAACTACCACAACTGCATCTCTTTGAATTTGCAGTGAAAGTCACGATTCTTTTGACTAAATAGAAGAAATACTCCACAGAAGATGACCTTAGCACCAAGGTGCCTTCGTGGGAAGAATCCTCAACTAGGTCGGACCGATCCATCCTAGAAGATGTAGACGATTAGACGAGTCTGGATTGTGAGGGGTGGACTTGCTCTACTATTCGGTCCTTCCGCCATTTCAGAGGTGAGACAGGGAGAAGAAAGAGATCGTTGACAGTGGCGAATCGATCTATTGAAAGTCGATCTATTTTCTCATTCAATTACACTGTTAGGGAATCGGTAAAGTCGATCTATTGAAAGAGATCCCTTTCACTGTCAGGGAATCAATCTATTGACAGTCCTTCCGTCCTTTGCTCATTCAATTACAAGCATACGTCCTTTTTCTCTTCAAGCATCTCACAGCGGTGGCTTTCTTCTTCCCCTCTCTCTCAGTCTCTCCGTTCTTCCCCTCCCCTGTTATCATCACTATCCACAACCTTGTAACAGCGGCGGTTTCAGCCAGGTACCGAAACTGGAGATCACGGAGGACGATCTGGGAAGTGTTGAGGAGATGGAAGGCCCGACAGTAATGACGACCTAGGTAGAGAAGAAGGAGAGAGGGGGAGGGGAAGAAGGGACGCGCGGTGGTGACGGGGACTTCATTCTGTGAAGCAGGTGAAGAGAGAGAGATTCAGAGAGACAGAGGAGAGAGGACTGTTTTCAATAAGATTTAACGGAAGGATAAAACGCCAAGCCATCTCTTTCCTAGCTTGCTCCACTAGTATCTACTTTCGTTGGCAATTACAGGGAGGAAGAAATATATGCTATTTTAAGTGATCAATGGGAAGATACTGGTACGGGGGTTTCTTTTGGGGGGTTTTCTGAACGGCGATGGATTTGCTCGATAACCCCTACACCCAGTTAGCAACTCTGCACTGTATCAATCATATTTGCCCAGCTCCAAACGTGGCCCTATAAATGTGGTTAGGGTTTTGATGAATCAAAGTTTTTTTTATTTTTTATTTTGAAAAAGAATAAAAAATAAAATAGTTTTTTTGTCTTTATGTTAACCTACGTTAATGGTAAGGGAAGAATACACTTAATCAAATAATTTAAGAAATTTACCCTATAGTAAAATGTACTAGTCACCGATATAATTTCAACGATAATGACAAACCACGGAAACACACAATTAGCCGTCATGTATCATGGCTTTGAGAAATGAACCACATATAGAGCCTCTTTTATATTATATGGTTCCGAAAAAGTATTCTCTTTTTTTTTTTTAAATATTGGTATGTTTTTAACCATGCTACTTTTAATTTTCCTTTCCAAAACCATAAATCAAACCCTTGACATAGCTGTAGCAAATGCAAACCCTTGTTTCATCACCTACGTCAGGTCCATTTCATTTTTTTCCCCTCAGCCTAATTCATATCTAAGTGCCCATTTGGGAGGGCAGTTGCTTCTGACTTTCCGAGGTGGGCCGCACACTGAAGTGGCTAAATTGGAAAAGCTTAGTGCTTTGTATTTTTAGAGCTCATGCGAGCCGCCCCACAACGTCCCACAATACATTCCCGTTGTGTATTGGGAACATCTACCGATGATAGTACCAGTCCCGATGATGTCATCATCAGGAGATGTTCCCAATACATGGCAGGGATGTGTCGTGGGACGGAGATGTGATCTCGTTTTTTTAGTGAATAAACCTTCAAGCGGATAGTGAGTTTCTCAACTTTCGAAGCTGAAGTCGTGTAAATTGGAACGGTCCTCACACATGGGCGCCTCATAGGCACATCCACCGTGCATTGGGAACATCGATCTCCCGTGAATAATAACTTATAAGTATGGGAGATATTTCCAATGCATGGTAGGATGTGAGTGTGAGGCGCCCCGGTGTGAGGAGCAGATCTGGTTACTATATCCTCAAATATTGTATTGTCTAATTATGCTATACACTAAATAACAATGCAATAAGTCATTTAGTTTAGCAACTTCAATTAATTTCAAATGGCCAATAAACCTTGGAGATGCCTAGTCCTAGGAATGGCAACATCCCCAACCCCGATCCCCGTTAGAGATAAAAATTGTTCTCCATCCCCGATCCCTTATGAGGATGGATTCCCGATGAGGACTAAGATCCCTAAAATTTTTTAGTTAACAGTACTTTTTGAAAATAAATTTATTTAAGATAAGTAAAAAATTAAAATATAAATGATATTTTAAATATATTTTGATATATATAATATAAATAATATAAATAATATCATATATATATATATAATAATAATAATATATATCGATATGCTGGTAGGGGCGTATCAAGCAAATCAATACTTTTTTTTTTCTGAAACCGGTTCAGGGGAGCCGGTTTAGGGCTCATCCATCCCTTGAACTGGTCAGACCCCCGATACATCCACTATAGGGGCGTATCGGAGGGGTCCTGAAATGATACATATTGACTGATACGGACTGATACGTATTGATACTTTGAATCTTGGTATAGCCGGGGATGAAAAAATTGTTATCCCTACCTAGGCCTGACGCAACTGAAATCTTCAATTTAAATCATATAAGGGAGTTGCAATTTAGCCATACCCTTCCCGTGTATTTTGAGTTAGAGCCCATTTAACTCCAATTTTTATGTTGAAATAGATGATTTGGCACAACAGGATTCTCTGAAAGCAAAAACTTTGCACACACTTTAAAAGCAATTCAACTACACATTGGAACATCTCTATTAATTTAACATACATGTCCTTCAATGTGTGGCTGGATGCTATGCGGGCAGAGTTTTTGCTTGTTCAACTAGGACTTCTTACTATTGATAAAAAATGATCCTACAAGTAACAAATCAATATTCGGCACTACATATGTATGCCACCACAGTCCTCAAAACATGAGAAGTATGCATTTGTGCAAATTGTTCCATGGAAAGTCTCACATTTGAGTTGAGGATTTGGTACAAAACTATGATGTTTATGCTGTCAGAAAATATGATGCCGTAAGGGTTTTGACCTATCAAAACCTAATTAATAGATGATAGGAGTAATCATGAACCTGGCCAAGTTTAACACTGTGATAAGGGCTATAGCCAGGGCATGGGTCAAGACCAGCCCGAGTTACAGGTCTATGACTTTTATGTATAAAATATTAAATATATATAATAGTTAATATTACATATCATATAATATGTGTATAAAATTTGTTAAATATATTTAAGAGGAAGTTACATGATGCATACTGTTTGTGGATGATATTTGTTTTAATTGATGAAATGATTAAATGCAAAATAAAAACAAACGGGTTAAAAATAAGTATGACTACAAAAGAGTATATAACATGTAAAACTAGTAATAATAGGAACGTAAATTAGTAAATGAGGATACACTTAGGGTTGAAGATCAATAGATACCTTTATATAAAAATTTCTAGTACCTTGGTTCAATAATTTATAACACGGAGATTGAGGAAAATACCAGACAAAGAATCAGAGTAAGATGAGCAAAATGGAAGGATGCATTTGGACTTGTACGTGATAGCTAGATGGATACAAATCAAATTAAAATGAAAGTTACATAAAATAATTGTAAGGCCAGATATGTTAATATGGAGTAGAATATTGGACAGCAAGAAAATATCCAAAAAATGAGTGATATAAGCACAAATATTAAGTTGAATGAGTAGAAAAATTAGAAAAAATGGAATTATGAATGAAACTATCCATATGAACCTAGGGGTAACTCTAAGAGGTGATGAGCTATGAGAGTGTAGACGAAGATGATTTGATCATGTGCATAGAAAACCACCAACAACACATGTTAGAATAAATTATTTATTACAAGTTGAAAGGGCTAAAAGAACTATGAATAGACCAAAAAGGATATGAATAAAAGTAATAAAAAATGATTTAAACATTAGTAATTTAATGGTGGATATAGATTTAAATAGAAGGATTGATGAAACAAGATTCATGTAATCGGGACAAGGGATGGATGATGATGATAATAATAATAATAATTATATAATATAAAAAAGTATTATGTATAATATGTTTATTGTATCATATTAATATTTATATAAATTACAAAATAAAACAACATATATCTAGGCACATACTGATATACCTAAAAGTACTGGGCCTAGACCCACGCGCGGAATCTCTGGGCCGGGTTGAGAATGATCGCCTCTCCCGTCTTGTGTAGCCCCTTACCAAAAAAAATGTCAAAAGTCAAAAAAGGGGGCTTTTATGGAAAAAGAAAATAACGTTATTTTTTTGGATAAGGTGGCCAAATGGTATTTTCGTTGTTCCAAAGTATTTTGTCGAATCATCATCGATCTCTTTCTCCTACCCCACTCTCCCCCCCCGGCTCCAGTCTCTATATATACAGATACACGTTAATTTGTAAGACAGGGCGGCCCTGAGAAAGACATAAAACTTATCTTATTTGTCCCCTTATCCCTTCTTCCTCTGCTTGACTATATATATTTTTTTTTTTTTTGTAAATTTTACATACTAAAAATAAATAATTAATGAAAGATCTGAGAAGTAGGAAAGAAGAAATTAGATTAGGCAAAAGGGAAAAATTAAAAGAAATAAGTCCAGGAAAAAACTAAAAGAAATCGTAAGTCCAGGAAAGAATTAAAACGAAAAACAAATCGACTATAACAGAATCACCTTTTCAACGCACCTTTTTAGGGAGTTTCCTCGTCTCTTCAGACAGTAATGGCGGAAATTATTCTCACGTAAACCAAGTGCCAAGCCTCCTTTGTTTTTATTTTTCTGTTTTTCTTCGATAGCAAAATCCCCGTATTTTCTCTTGTTTGTCCTCGAAGAACTTCGGGAGAAGAGAGAGATGTCTTCTTCTGTTACAGTTCGAGTCGAGAAGGCCACAAGCGATCTTCTGATCGGCCCCGATTGGACTATGAACATGGATATTTGTGATACCATCAATTCGAATCACTGGTAAAATAAGAAATGAAGTTCTGGTATTTATGAAATTGGCTCTGCATATGTAAGAAATAATTTTAGCTGCCTTTTTTTAACCTTTCTAGGGCTTCTGTTTTCTCCAAAGTTTGGAGTTTGGACCTCTTGATGTTCCACAAACTCTGTGTTGGGATTCTTTGGTGCAACTTTATGGTTTGCTATATAATTTACTATTGTATGAAAAACCAAATTGATTTCTCGAAGTGAATTATATATATATTTTTTGTAAGTAAAGTGAGGCAATTTTAGGCTCTATCATTCTTCCAGGTTTATGTCGTCGGTTTCTGTGAATTCTTTTGGAATTTGAAGAACAGTACATTCATGTTTTATAAGAGCTTGTGTTTTGTTTGTAGTGTTTATTCTTCACTGAACAAAGTGTTTCTCTTCTCCCTTCCTCAACTTGTATTTTCAGAGATAAGTCGAGTGCAAAGAAGTTACTCATAAATTTCTTGCCTAGTTAAAATTCCTTTCTTATTTTGTACGAAGTTTCTTTCTCTTATACAATAGTTTGTACATTTCCTAAGAAAATGAATTTAGTTATGGTTTGTTAAAGGTCATGTTTGAATTTGATCAGGCAGGCAAAGGATGTTGTTAAAGCTTTGAAAAGACGGTTGCAGAACAAGAACCCAAAAGTTCAGCTACTTGCTTTGACGGTATGTTTAACTGGAGAGTCTTCATAAACATTCTTATATCCAATAAATGGATACACGAAGATATGCAGAGTAAATGTGTTCATCATTCTACATTCATACATGCAGAAGTGGGTAGATCTGGTTGATATTTTATAATCTGCAATATAATTCATTATGGTTGGGGTTCAAGCAGTTCCTCATTTTTCTTTATTATTTTTCAGCTTTTGGAAACAATGACAAAGAACTGTGGTGATTATGTACACTTTCAAATTGCTGAAAGGGATGTTTTACAGGAGATGATCAAGATTGTAAAGAAGAAGGTGAGATTCTGACATCTTTTTCTCACTGATGTGCTAAGAGGATATTATAGATTACAAGCATGGGTAGTGGTAAATGTATGCTACATCCCCCATTTTGGGGCGAGTGATACAAAGAAGCTTCATCAAAATAACAGAATGAAGAAAGAAAATGTGCAAGATGCAAAAAGAAGCAACCTAATAAGCTCACTTCATCCTTTTATTTTTGATAATAAAAATATAATTAAATAAAAGAAATAAGTACAATGATAGGTAAGGTAACAAGGAAATACCCCAATGAAAAGAAAAAACAACATGCACTGCCATTGCACCCATCAAGAAAGAAAAAGAAGATACAACTATGAACACCCCAAGGGGCCAGTGAAATAACAGTAGGAAGAAATGGAGACACAGACTGGGCCAGTGAAGGCAAAATGAATGCAATTAAGTTCATTCCTATAGATGTCATCTCTGGTAAGTAGCAAAGGTATCAATCACTGCATTGATGGACCTTACACCCCATTTGGACAGATACTCAAATTGAATAACAGGGATCCGGCATCTATGATGAAGTAACTTAATCTCCATGGACTATCTGAGCTTCTATCATCACCACAGTTCTACATGTTCCTATGGAGCATCGTAGTGAAGTTGCCATATCTCACTGGTCCAAAAATGAACATGATTGTGCCATCTTTTTGCTACATGTGGTGCCAATGCATGATGGACACAGATTCCTATGAAGTATTTTGAATTTAAGTTTGATAGTGTTTGAACAAGGATGTGGCAGGATTCTCCTTGTGCATTTGCGTGTTACTGTTATGAATAGCTATGTCTTGTGGTCGAATTCCAGCCGCAAGTGACCAATTTGTGCATCCCATTTGAATTCATGGCATGGTTTTATATATTATATGGCCCCAAAATCAAGTATAGAGTTACCAACTGATGATATGGATTTTCATTAGTCTATAAGGTGGTTGAAACCTATCTGCACTGGTAGTATCACCACGCTATGCTAAGGTGATAATGTTTCATTAACATGCTTTTCTTGTTGTCATTTTATGCATAATCTTGATAGGTGCTTTAATGACATCTTGATGCTTTTTTTTTTTTAATTATCTTGTATTCTTGTATTAAGCCGTTACTTCTATTTCACTTTTCTTCTTTAGTAGATCATTTTTCTCACATAGTTGCTACTGAATATGCCATTTGGAATGTTCTTGCAAATTGGGTTATAAGAAGTTTCTTTGGATGGTTTTTAACAGACGGATATGCATGTGAGAGATAAAATATTGATCTTGCTAGACTCTTGGCAAGAAGCATTTGGTGGACCTGGAGGGAAATATCCTCAGTACTACTGGGCATATGAAGAATTAAGGGTAAGTATGATTGACGAGGTATAGTTTCATTTCTACCCATTCTATAACTGACATGTGGCAGTGCTGGTTTGATTTGTTTACGTTGATTTCTTATTCATTGACCAGGTCTCCCTGTTAGGTTATTGAAAGTCTATGTGATGCTTAAACTTAATGTCCTATACTTATCACCGCTTCATAGGTCACACTTAACAATATCTACTTTCTTGGCCGAATAAATTGTGATCAATACGTGGACTGGTAGCTTTACATCTCTTGGTCATCCAAAAGAATGAAATCTTGCAGATGATTGTGATTATCCTGTTGGGTCTATATTTTAACTTCACGATCTTGTAGGTGGATTACTGTTTTGTCCATCCTGATTTGTTTTTTTTTGTGCTTTACATAGAAATTAGGAAAGAAAGCTTTATCCATCCTCCTATGATGCAACTGTTGTATGTGTGCAATTAACTCATTTATGTCTTTCTGCTGGGCTTCTTGCATATTCATGATGTGTATGTTTATCATGTTTTCTTGAAATTACTTAAGCAACAGCTGCAGCAACATTTGTTGTTAGAATCATCTACAACCTGCACCAGCATCAATTAACTAAAACTTGCATTTGCATTGATGGATGACTTACATTATAAATACATGGATAGATATGATTGCTAAATAAGGTGGTTGTACTAATGGCAGCGATCTGGAGTAGAATTTCCACGGCGTTCATCAGATGCAGCTCAAATATTTACACCACCTGTTACACATCGAACATTAAGACATACTCAAGCAGGATATGGCTTCCCTAACAATACTACAAGAAGGCTTGATGAAGCAATGGCATCTGAGGTGGAAACATTAAGGTAAATTTTTTCCCTTTTCTCCTTGGTTCATATCACCCTTTTCTCCTTGTCCTTTCCCCCCTTGCCCAAAAGGGGCAGTACACTATCGTTTGTTTAAAATTTTCCTGTACCTTTTCAGTCTCTCAAACATAGATTCTATGAGGAGTGTTATGGAACTTCTTACTGAGATGCTGCAAGCAGTGAACCCAAATGATCGTGAGGTACACATAGTTGCATATATTGCTCTGCCCTTGCACTATGATAAATAGAATTATGACATCATAAATAAAAAACAAATATGATACTTACTCTGTGTGTATCTTTCTATTGATACATTTCATCAATTATTTTTATTTTTATCTTAGTAAGTAGAACCATTACTAGAGGAGAAAAATTAAAATAGGAAGTACAAAGACCTGCATCCTAAAAGGGCAGGACCAATAGACGTCAAGGTGGAAAATGGAACAAAACTAATTACTCCTACCCCACCACTAGCAAGGATGTCAGTGTCAGCTAAAGAGTTGACTGACATTGGGATCCAACTGAATGTGATGTCCACTCTGGATGGCAAGTCACTAACCTCTCTAACATGATCGTGTAAAATACAGGTCTGAATCATTGTAGACCCAACTATAACAGAATTTGGATGGCCATTACCTTAAACACACTTCAAAGTTCAAACCCAGGCCTCAATATCAGTGTGAGGCTATTAATGAAGACAAGGTTTATACTCTAATCTCTATTTTAAAACTCTGATCTGGACTGTCTGCATAACAAAGGCTTACCCTTTATAAAATTTATTACATATACTAAATTCCTATTTTGGTTAACTGGAAACTTAACTCTTCTACTGAAATTTCTGGTCTTCCTGGTTTTAAAGCAATGACAATGCTTCACTTTTTCAAAGGAGGAAGTATTAGTGCAGTTCACTCTTGGTTTGAAATTTGGAAAGAATTCAAGTTCCATCCAACTCCTTCTAATTCTACTTCTTTGTTTAGATAGAGCTACTGAATTATTAACTGATTTAGTTTTCCTCTTTCTTTTTGGGTACAACATCTTAATTTATATCTTTGAGTATTAATAATCATTTCTTTAGGCTCAGTTTGTTTGCAGTACAAATTTCATTTGCACTGGTGTCAATGCATAGGAGTGCAAATAGGTTCTGTAAATTCTGGTTTACTTTTGCTTCAGATTTGATTTTGTTTTATTTGTTTGGAAGAAATAAAATGATGTGGTCGCCACCTTATGTGAAAGAGAACAGAGGTAGGAGGATTATTTGTTTGGGAGTGAGGTAGAAAGCAAGATGATGTAGTCCCCACTTTTTATGAGGGAGAATTGAGGTAGGAGGAAAATGGTGCAAAATTTGCATAAGTTTTTGGGATGCAAAATTTGCACTGCTGGTGAGTGCAAATGAGACAAAAAGTCAACAATTTACATCAGGTAGTAGTGCAAATCATAGTTACAAACAAACATGAAAACTGGACTGGGTACAAAATTTGCATTAGGTTCAGATTTGCACTGCAAACAAACAGAGCCTTACTCCCAAAAGAAAACATCCAAAAACATGTCCACCTTGGGACAAAAGCAAAACTGTGGATAGAACCACCTGCAACTTGCCAACTTCAAATTCTGGAGGAACCAAGACCCACTCCGGAATCAAAGAAACCCCATTCACTGCATCTCACCAAAGCCCCAAGTTATCCATAAAAAATTTTCTGTTCCTATCCACCCAAGATTCTCCAAAGACATTAACCACAAAGAACCATCAACTTAAACCCCAAATCATCAACCAAAGCTAGTAGGTATCTAGACAATTTGCATCCACAATGTCCAGACCTATGGGACTTCCATTTGGAAGGGTATTTAAAAGGCTTATCCAGCTTTTAATGGGGGAATTTAGTATAAGGTTGCCAGGTTGGTGATGGGGACAGACTCAGATTTTGGTTTGACAGGTGGTGTGGGCAGCAGGTTCTAATGGATGCATTACCATATCTCTTCATGCTAGCTCAGAGGAGGGAGGCAGTGGTCAAATATTCTTATTCAGGCGAACAAGGCAGTGTGCTGGTGTCCTATTTTTAGAAGGAATTTAAATTATCAGGACATGGATCTGTTACAAAGACTTCAGGGTATTTCTCCTCAAGTAGGACACCCTGATTCTGTTATGGACACATCGCCCGGCAGCGCACTGCGGCGCAGGCATAGGCAGCAGCACGCACAGCGGGCCGCCCAGCAGCACGCACAGCGGGCCGCCCAGCAGCACGCACAGCGGGCCGCCC